AACCTGTTCAAGTGGCTATCCAAGAACCTGTTCAAAAGAATAGAGACTATATTAGCCAGGAGGAGGCAGACAAATGGGTTAACCCAAATGCCTGAAAACCTGGTGAACATTTTAGAACATGGGGAATACGACTACAAAAAAGATGGAAAGAACTTGGTCTAGGTAAATGTCTTAAAACAGAAAACTTGGATGACTGTATAACTCTCTGTCATGATCTTGAACAATACAATCCAGAAGTAGTTAGACCACCAACAAAAGAGGAATTAAAAGAAGAACATGAAAAAAGAAAATTAGAAGAGATTAAGAAGAGGCAAGAAAGACCAGAAAAAGACCTAGAGTTTAGAGAGCAAGAAGAGTTGGGAATGGCAGTTAAAAGAAGAGCTATAGCTGTACATTGTGCAAAAGTTCCTAAATCTCATTCAGATAATGGAAGCGATATACGAAAAATGTTAGAAAGCCAAAGAAAGCAGTTTAGGGAAATACTTGAAAAGGAATTTGATAAGCGTGAACAATTTAAGTTCACTCTATGTTCTCTTACCAAATTTCTTATAGATGATAAACCTGGAAATGAAAAACAGGAAAAAAGAATTCACGAACTGACTGGCTTAGAAATACGCAAATTATAGTTTATAATAGAAATGAAATAGATGATTACTTAAGCAGTGCTTTCGAACAGATCCTATACCAAGTGGAGGAGAGAGGAGGTAAGACTAATTCTTGAGAATATATTTGGGTGGTAATACTGTGTCTGGCGGGACGATTTGCAGTTCTTCTCTTACAAATGAGCATCTAGAACCTTGTAAAGCTTGTAAAGAATAGGCTGATTTTCTTTTATCAAATAAGAATCAATTGAAAAAACTTCAGGAGACCAATTGCAATCAGTTGCCCTTCTTCTCCCACCTTCTAATTCACCAGGTTCTAATAAATGTCGAACTTTAGTATGGCTAGGCAAAAGAGGTTTATTATAACCAATTGGTCTCCTATTCTTTACTGAAGGTCTAGCTATTATTTTTTTCTTTTTAATGCTTGTTTTACAGCTTCATTAGGAGACATACCTATCAATCGGGTAGAAGTATTATTATAAATATCATCATTTATACGAAGACCCTTAACCCATGCTCTAGATCTATCAGTCAAAGGTAAATGAAAATCTTTAGCATCTTGCCGAAAATAAGCATGCTTTTCAAATTCTTGATGGTCACGTTCAGCAATAGCTACACCACGTTTAGAGTTAGCATACTGAATTTTTACACCATGACTAAATAATAAATCTCTATACTCACCCAAAAATTCTGTACCTCTATCAACAATTAAAACATTTGGCCAAATAAGAGGGCAATTTGGGTTATTATAAATTTTTTGAAACGCTTTAGCTACTTGTGCAGATGATTTATTGGTTAAAGCAAAACTACGGCGGAACCTAGTAGCTACATCTTTTATTACAAGCCTATGCTTATAAATTCGATTACCTATTTTACAATGAGAGAGTGGTGTAGTATCAGATTGATGCACGTCGTTTAGATCTTGTATATAATTAAAAGAGGCATACTGAATGAATTTAGGCCTAGGCTTGTATATCTGATGTAAAGCCTGTTGGTCTAACCATTTTTTTATTTCAGCCGAAGTAAACTCATATCCAGCTTTCTTGCAAGCACCCGCATTTTTTCAGCAGTTCGATAATAGCCCTCAGGTAGGTAATAGAGTTTTTGCAAAGTAAGATCTCGATCAAGATCACGTGCTCTTTGAGAATTGATATAAATAACCGGTTCTCCCATTTTGATTCTCTTTTATAGATCTAGCAATTTCTCAACTGCCTTCTCGCAATTCTTGCTCGAAGCCAAAAAATTAAGATATCTCTTAAATCTGTAAAAAAAAGTTAACTATATATCTTTTTTCAAGCTTGCGAGAAAAAATTATAGTAGATAAAAAATGGAGGAGTTACAACAAACCAACCAAGAACTCTATGAGGTGGTATCACAATTAGCTGAATCAAATAGAAATTTCGAACAACGGCTATATACCTTAGAAAGAGTTATAGGTATACGCGAAGAAAGGATACGATATCTTGAAGAAGAGTTAAATAACGCT